TGGGGCGGTCTCGGTAGCGTGGCAGGGCGCGACACACGATGCAGATGTGGTCTCCACAAATATGGCGGGGGTCCACGTTGGCACCACGCCAACCTGGAGGGACGTTGGATCAGCGGCGAGAACATCGTGCAGTGGGGCACCTTCGTCGAGGTTTATAGACTTTCGGGTAACCAGCTCGGGCAACAGATTTAGCAGTGCCACGCACGGCGCGTCTTGCGTTGCCAACACCCCAGCAAGAGTGTGCAAGGGACACGTCAAGAAATCGTTCTTGTCCGGAATCAAGGTGAGTTTCTGCTCTTCGGAGGTTTTGACACGCAGGATTCGAAGGTAGAAAGTACCATCCGCTGATAATGACACGTGCTGCTTTTGAATGTATCCCAAGTCGGAAGATCGGCCAAAGCAGTGCTACATCAGGCACGCTAGCACAGCGTCTTGGTAGTCACCATGCACACGTGCCGTGCTGTATACATAACGGATTAGACACTGTAGATCCTCCTTAGCACAAGGAGGAGCCTTATTATTCAAGCCACCTTTTTCTCTTTTCATGCAATATTTGTCTAGTGTCTTGCCTTGCTTGAGCAGTATCAATTCAGTAGGCATACGTAAGTGTGAATATTTATCAAATAGCCATAGCTTCACATTTCTATGGTACGAAGTCGCCGTATTACGTGCAAGCTTACCTTTCTTATCGTCGTTTGTGGCAAGATAGAATTCGAAGCGATCCATCGTCGCAGCTAACCGTTTGCCGGAGGCGTCCAGGGGGATGCTAACATCCTCTCCTCCAGCATCCGCTTGAATGCGGCAACCGCGGTGGTGCGCTCCTTCTCCGTATTAGTAGGGACGAAAGCGGCTAGGCTCATCAGATCCCTCTGCCTTTCTTAGTTGTTTGAACAGTGTGTGGATTTATTTATTTCACGTAAACTGGCTTCCTAGTCCAGGATCTAGCCTAGATACCTGAACGGCACCAATATATGACAAATATTTTTCGATGTGACTATTGTAAAGGCATATACATATCTTCGCTGACAAATATTTGTCGGGATGTGTCGAAACCTAAAACCCTACCCCTGATAAATATATTTGGTCAAAATCGATACCTCCAGGTATATCATTGGATAATACTCCACATAACATAACTATTAAACAATTGTGAATTCATCCATATTCTCATCAAATCCTATCTTTAACCGTAGCCATTTTAGCTTAGGACGAGGGTCAGATTGGGATACCAAAAACACCAGCAATTTTGTGTGCCAGCACCACATTTGCGCAAACTGCAAAGACTTGGCGCAAGCGGCTTCGCACAAGCGGCGACAGAAGGACGCACACCAACCACTGATTGGTAGTAATTAGCCAATAAACCAGAAACAAATCCCCCCTCCCGCAGCGCAGAAACAATGAGCAAGGACTTCATTGAGAGCCTGAAGCGCCTCGTCGACGATGGCAACCAGGGGAAGAAGTATTATCCCTTGCTAAAAAATAAAATATAAGCTGGAGGTCAGTAAGGACCGCTATATATTTGGGGGCTTTCTCATGGAAGGCTGTCCTAGAGACCGACGCACCAGCACTACTCTTCGTCGGAGCGTGTGACGCCGTGGCAGGCCTACGAGGTCATGAGCGTATACCGGAGGGTCCGCAGCACTTCCTTGATGACCTTGGCGCTGATAGCGTCCTCACAGTCATCGAAAACCAAGTCACTGAAGCTCGTGCTGGCGGTATGTATGCTCCGCCAGATCAGGTTGACGTTGAGCTCCCCTCCTACTACTCAAAGCTACGCTTCCCGCAGCATGAGGCATACGTGTGGAAGTCGGAGTACTGGCTCTAGGATGGAAACCGTGAGTCGCCCATTCATATGGTCCACGGGCGAATAATCTCCTACACCCCGCCATATGCAAGAAATTGCTTCAAGATCTGGGTGTTTCCCTCAAGAATCAGCCAAGACCACAAGCTTTAAATACGGAAACTAGGACAACTCCATCGAGAGAATGGTAGCTACAGCAGGGAGCGGGGTGCTTGTCCAGCGCCCTGGAGACGTAGTCTGCCTCAACAACCTCGTATTTCACGCTGTATTACTGGTGTACAAGAAGAATACGAAGCCAGCAGACAAGTGGGGCGGGATATTTGGGGACGTGATCGTGCGTGCAGAAGACCACTGGGAAATCGTTCCGCTTTGCTACCAAAGTTGCGTCAGGGTCCAAAAAAGCATTATGTAAAGCGTGGGAGCCGCTGCTATCAGCTTACAGCGTGATGGAGTGTGGGGACTACGATCCGGCCAAGTTTGAAGAAACGAAGAAGAATTTCATGGAGACACTGGTGTTGCCGAACAAGTCGGGGAAGGCGCGAATTGGCGCCAGTGCAAAGCGTGATAAAAAGCAGTGTAGAGACGAACAGATGAAGGCGGTTCGTGCAGCTAAGCGTGGAAATTTAGATGAATCGGGCCAGTAACCATTCAATACAATCTGTTTCCTAAAAATATTTCTCGCTCAATATTTTTTTCGCAGCCTATCTTTCTATAATGAAACTAGCAGCAATGTTCATAGAGCCATGGACGCCAATGACCATGCAAAACAATCCAGATTTTACTTGAGATTGATACCTTGCAATTTATTCACAAAGTTATGTGGACATTATTTTCAAAGCCAAAGGCTCTTTGACAACAGATCGAGGTCAGAATAGCTTTTTTTATCCATCTACTTATGTATTTTACAAGCGGTATTGCTACACGCAAGGGTATTCACGAAGTTCGATATATGTTGAAGTTAACTAATCATGTTAAGATTTTGCAGCCTATCAAAGTCAAATATGTTTTGCATCTTTTACGCTGACCAAAGGTGTCGAAAATACAATACCCTATCACTTCTACAAGACAAGCTTGATCTGCGGTAAATATCAACAGCTATTTTTGGAGGTTGGTATAGTGAACTTCAACTTGATGTTTCATATGAGATTGTAGTCGCAGCCCCTGGTAACTGTGCGGGATTTCACTGTATGCCACGACTTGGTATGTCTGCTCAAACTACATAGAACACTTCTGACATCACAAACTTGGACAAACTCACGCGGATTCAAAAAGAGGGATGACATTTTTGAATCGCAGCCTATCTTGATTAACGATGAGATAGACCGTCCAATATTGTCAAGCACTTAGTGACGGAAGAACGAACAGTTTCTACATGTCAGAAGCTTACATGGACCTTTTTATCAATTAAATATGGTTTGTCAACGGGTGTATTGATTGCATCAAAGGCCATCACACTGTTCTCGTTCTAAAGCCTGGCCGATGTTTCTTGGACGCCCATCGCGACGAGATCCAATGTGGCGGCGAGATTGTGAACGGTTGACAAGTGTCTCCCTCCCCATGATGTTCCTTGAGTTTCCATCGCGTACAGAAGGTGAATGCATGATCCGAACTTGAGCCAGTAGTTACAAGGGCAGACACGAGTC